GACTCGCATCCCTTAGGTTATATTTCGAACCCCGGCTGTGCACCAATTTACTTTCGATCTAATTTTTTCGGTGTTCAAGTAGACAGTGTGTCAGGTAGACAGTGTGTCAGGCACAGACGGTTATTCAGTGCTCAACCTATTGTTCTTGCCTCATCAGCATTAGGCTAATCATCTACTAATAATAATTACGAAGCAAATAGAAAATCTGAGACACACACTGAAAAGGTTGTTTTATTTTTAGGAGCATGTGACAAACATTCTGTAATTTATGGTCGGTCATACTTCGACGAATGAGACATCTGTACATTTTGGAGTATTATTATTCGCTCTCGCCTTGAATTGTAGACCTCTTGCAATAGTTATTAATTGTATTGTCTCTTTCACTCTCGTATAATTTTGTACATAAATGAACGCGACAAAAGATTATTACGCTAGTTAAAGCTGCGTTTACGAATGTAGAATAATGAATAGTTTCTTATTATATATTCCACAGATTTCAATTATACAATATCGTATGCTAAATACCTACATTATATTGTATTAGAATGTCAAGGTGCTTATCAGCATCGGAATTTGATTAACAGTTTTATTTGAAATTGCCCCCACGAACGTACGCCAAAATATGATTGTTTTGTATACGTTTTCCTAAATTTTAGAAAGAACTCGATAAAAACCTTCTTCAGATTTCAAAGAATAAATTTTTTTTTACATAAATTCGTCCAGCCAAAGTTTTGAGCATAGCAACATATTTTGCGGCCATCTTTTGCATACAATCTTAGGCCAAGACATATAAGGCTGTAGTGCTTCTAAATTATTATTAATATATGGTCTTACCTAATAAATCAGAGAAACAAAGCATCATTCACTATTACGAATAAACATTAAAGTCGTTACATCCGCGTCCCTATAATGACAGGCAGGTCAATAAAGGCAGTAGCGCGAATAAATTTTAGCTCAACGACTCTCCTTATTTGTCAGTTAGGAAGAGAAAAGGCGGTTTCCGATCGAGTGTTTTATGTTCGCAATCACGGGGTTATCTCAAGGTGCTATCGAGAGTTTGAATATTTCACTTTCTAAGTCTAAGGCAAATTTATAGTTTTTCTCGCTTTAATAGTCTATTAATTAAATTAATGTTTTATGAGATATTAACTAAGGAAACATATTGGCTTAAATGAAAGTGCATTAAATTTTAAGGAGTTTAGAGATATGTATCAAATTTGTGAAGGAATTTGTAAGGTAATTAGAGTTATTTAACTCTCGGTATTTTTATCTATACATAGTGACGGAATATGCCATACCTAGGATTCTAAAGAGATCACAATTAAGTTGTATAAAAAGTTTTTATATGTGATAAATCAATTAACTAAATTGAAACTGCCTACACTAATATAATAATAATAATTTATTTGCAAGAATATGGTACAAAAATGTTATGGTGGTACAATCGAAAGTTCGCATATTCTGCTACACATGGCGTGCAAATTTGTCTTAAAGGGAATTTTACATAGAAGGTATATACATTATGAGTATATCAATAGTCATTTATGTATTATTTGTAGTGATAAAATATCACATTAATAAAATATATTGAGTTCTAACAAGAATCCTCATAAGCTTATTTAAATACACATCTGTCTCATTGTTCACGCCTTTACGAAATTAATTTAAGTTGAAGTAGAAGGGAGTAGATTTACATTGTCAAAAAATTATCCTTTTCATTTCAATATTTTTTCAACCAGTAGTTTTATTCCATTCTAATGGCCAAACGGGAAGACAGACCGTATCACAGACAGGAGGTTGAGATAGAACGAGAATGTAAGTGCGTGCTCCTATTTCACCATGCCTCCTGCTGATAGAGGACCAGTCTTTGTTTTTAATTTATGTTATTATTATTAATTACTTAAGATGTCATGTGGAACACGGTATAATGGTTGCAGCTCCTTACAAACGTTGTGTAAAAAAAAACATGGCGATTAAAAAGAGTGGCGGAGAGTTTATTGCCAGTTCTTCTCTTCCGTTCTACGCCCTTGATTTGAGAACTGGCAGTAAATGTAAAATTAGAAGCATTAATATGTATTTCTTTAATGACGAATCACAAGTGTACATTGTGTTACCTACGTGAATAAATGATTTTTGAATTTTGAGAACATTCTCACCCTTATAGAGTGTAGTGCTAGGTGAATCCGTCTTCTATGTTTAATGCATAAAACCCGTCGAGTTGTGAGCGAATGTTAGACAAAAACACCCTCACTGCAGTCTAATAGATAAGGAGAACATCCCTTTTATTTTATAATACAAACAGTCCAGGTGGCTACAAAACTACTTACACAGCTTATTCGTAATCTCCTATTATACTGCGTATTCACAAATGTATTAAGTTTCATATACTACGAGTATGTTTATTCGATACTTGGGTAACAAGAAACCGGTTACATGTTTACTATGCAACTTGCACGTAGTCAATATCAAAGATTATGCACTAATAAGCATTTAGATGCAGAACTAATCGCTTAAGCAATATCTTGAAGTATACACAACTAAATGTTGCCGACTAAAATTGATCACTTCATGAGACCAAAAATTGAATGTTATTGGTGTAATGATACCATTCATAAAACTGTGCTAAACGAATAGAAACTTCATGATATGTTTATTTTATTACAATTAAATAATGTAGGAGTACAAAACCACTAAGGGACCGTGGGGTCTGAAGTACTAAAAAATATATAAAATAAGTTAAATACAATCACACATTACAACAAACAGAAGAAAAGCAAACGTATTTATAACATATAACAAATTAAAAAAAAAAAGCAGTGGCGCTACAACCAGTTTAGGTCTGGGCCTCAGATTTCTGTATCTGTTTCATGACCATATGTCAATCTAACAGGCAAGTAGGTGATCACCTTCTGTGCCTGACACACGCCGTCGACTTTTTGGGCAAGCCTTATGATGTTTTCCTTCACCGTTCGAGCGTATGTTAAATGCGCACATATAATGGAAGACCATTGGTTCACAGCCGGGCATCGAACCTACGACCTCGAGGATGAGACTCGCACGCTTAAGCCACTTGGCCAACACTGCTCTTATATACATATAACATCTATCTTAAATTTATGGAGCCTTTACTAATACCTTCCAATTTCGGATGTTATTTTGAGATTTGAGGGTAAACAATTAACAAGTCGCGGAACAATATACGGGTGTCTGTTCGCCATATATACATTATTTGCGCGGACTGTCCGAAGTTTTAGGTTGCTTATTGCTCTTGTATGCGTTGAATGTTCGCCACTGCTGGGCGGAGCCGAAAATCTTTTCCTTGAGAAGCAAACATCGAACTTGTACATGAATTAGTATTATGTGCATTATCAGTGGTCAAAACATAACATTCTTACGTTTAGTCTCAGACTCAAAGTCATAGAACCTTCCTATTATTGATAAATTAGTAAATTTTAAAATACACCTTTAGTAAAAAGCTCTTACAATGGTAATCATAAGTATTATTTATTAATAAAACAATCCTGCAAATAGTTGTCATAGTATGTATATAAGCTCGGGTGTCGTCTATTAACAACATCTGGTATACAGTAATAGACTATGCTTGTTATTTTAATGAGAAATTAGGCGTAAGTAGAGGCGTGGCTCAAGGCTCAAAAGCAGGTATTTTCAAGGAGAGGTCAATGTAGTGTTAGTTTTTTAACTGACTTCGAAAAACTTTATATGTTTACAATTCCACATGTAATTTTTCGTTAAACACGGCGTTTGACCTGTTTCGTACTTGATAGACGTTTTTCCAGGTAGGTTTTGAGGTCAAATTTTGAAATAATATTTAACAACCAATAATAATTTGCTAGTTTAAATACGCGTTTGTTTTTAAAGGAAGTGGTTTGCGTGAGTGTAGATAAAAAATATATTTACTTAACCTGTTAACCTCTATATTTGAATTTAGACTAAAACTAAGCAAACATAACCTTTGTAGATTTTAAATCTTTAAACTTGTTTGATAGCAGTTTTGTCTCTTTGCGAATAATAATAAAAATAATGTGTTTATTTTAATATAATTTTACTAGAATTTGTTAGAATAAATCTTTTTGCGACAACACGAGACAATAATAAATTTACATAGAAACCAGAAATAGCTACGTAGCGTGTCCAACTTATTCTTTAAGTATGTGAAAGGACTCCGTCCGTAGTCTTCGTAAAACATGGGCCCTTTGGTATTCATTAGTGTTTTAGTAAATTCTAAAAACGTAGGAATTAAAGATTCTTTAATCTCGTGGTTTAAGATTATTAAACAATTAAACTTACTAGTCTAATGATTTCCTTGTTCCTCTATAATTATTATAGTACTTCTAACCTCTTGAACATATGTACGAGGTTAGTGCGTTGGTAGATTTATACATAAGTATGTGGGCTGATTGTGACATGGCATTTTTATATGAAAATAATGTTAATGTATTGTGAAAGATTAAAGTGCTTTCCAAAATCATATAGGCGTTACATATTGTGGTAAAGTAGACCTATGTTATGTTAAATATAAATATACTAATATCATATGTATACATATACACAGAAATATCTATAGTTATATTACACAACTCCGTCAGTACAATCCGTAGTTCCATCATCGCGTGTCAAGACAGAAAACAAAATTCCACCCGTATCACTTCGACGTCCGTCGTTCCACAACTGTACGTCTTAAGGCACCTTTGCCGTGCACCACCTCTATATATAACACCAGCTGCTCGCTGAAGTATTTCTGAACCAATCCCACTTAGGTTCCTTCAAGAACGTACCGATTTCTAATAGTAGGGTGAGAGTCCATGAGCGGCGGAGTCACTTACAATCATGTGATCTTTCTGCCTTTTACCACCTGTTTTATAAAAAAATATTGTTTATGGTAATAACTTTATTTTCTCTATTACCTCATCACTATTAGCAATAGCATTTTATGGTGTTTACTTGAAACATAATAAAATTATGTTTGTTACAGAGACACTATGTACCGTCTCTCACTTCGTGGTCTGCGTCAACTAGAGCGGGCAGACTGGCCCGCACCAGCAGACAAAGCCATACTCTGCCAGGACAAAGGCCAGACGGAACAGGATTGCCATAACCACATTAAGGTGCTGCTCTCGTACGGACATAAGCTGTTCGCTTGTGGGACTAATGCGTTTAGTCCTGTATGCAGTTGGCGTGAGGTGAGTGAAATTAAAATATCGTTAGGTTAATGACAGCTCATGTGAGCTTGGCGGTATGGCTTTTATTACTTGCAGAGCAAAAAATTCATGGCACTTTGGATTTTTTGCGAGAAGCGCAGTTTACATTGTTTATTATGTTTTCATGTGATACGAAAATAACATCCCTATATGTATTTCTTAAAGTATATTTTTTTGTCGAAGTTAAACGTTATTCTTTTATATAACTTATCTAGATAAAACTGGAACTAATTTCATTCATTCATTAGCTAAGGAATGTTATTCTTACGTTTGATTGCAAGAGTTTTTAAAATGTAGAAGTATAAACTTTTGAATTTTTCAATCGAAATCTTACTTTAGCAATTGCAGAATTGTTACACGTGTGGCGTAGTAAATGAATTACCTGCTGATTACTGACATTTTCGAAGTTTTAAATTACGAAAATATCGAATATGAAAACTGAAAATCGAAGAACTTTTTTTCAGCATAAAATATATTTTTCTGAACGCAGGTACCATATTATCCATTCATTACGTTGCACTATGTATAAGAATTCTGAAGTTTTCACAGGTGTTCAATTCCCAAGTTATTTAAAAACGTTTAATGGACAATATATAGTATTTGATACTTATTAAACTGTTAACTTGTGACTACTAGTAGCTGCCTAATTCAATGAATATAGTGGTCAAGTAATTAATAAGTGTTTATTCGGTGGTCGCAACTTTCTTTGATGTTGATAATATTTGAGACGATAATAAACAGGGTTTTGGGTTATCACGCTAAATATTGTATTAATTTTAAGTTTAATATAAAAGATAATTAATTTGCAAATCTAGTCGCCTTCAGCTTTTGGGTAATGTTAAAAATTATTAATACTAGCGAAGTTTTCTTACATTCTTTTAGATTTACCTATATATGAAATTACGTGAGGCAATAATCCGAATGAAGTCATGTAAATGGTCATACTCTATGAATACTTCTTGAAGAAAACTGCGTTGTAAATCAAAGTACAAGGTCGTACAGTTATCTTATCATAACGAAATTAGGCGAACCACGATAATGAACTACCATATTTCTGCCGTATTTCCTAATGAATATAAGTAGGTCACGTGGGCTGTGTCAATGCTTTAATTATATACTCGCTGATGTTTGTGCTTTGAACGGCTAAGAAAGAATTAGATTATTTCCTTTAAATTTTGTATATCTTGTACAGTTTGGTAGAAGACAAAAATGGAACATTTGCTTGTGTACATGGCGTTTCACTTTATAGAAGCAAAATAGGTGTGTAGAGTCTGTGCGTAAAGAGAACCTTCATGGGATTTAAGGTCGCAGTAATGCTAAATTACCTTTTTTGCTATGTTGACAACACTGATGTCATTATAGTTCGACAATAATCAACTTGATACTTAGACAAAATGATGCATAGCAGAGAAAGATACTGTCCTGGTGCTAGGTCGAATTACCGCTACGTCAGTTCTCATTCACACAGACTATAACAGAATATATTGGGTGGCGCAAAAGTAAAGACCCTATATGGTTCAGTTATATGTTCCTTATTTCTTGATGAATGTTTTCTTTTAGAGCTGCGAGAGTCTGTGGCTTGTTCACACACACACGGGATTTCAAAAAACCCCAAAGAAAGAAGTCTGGACTCGTCAGATCTTGCAAGAAATCGTCGACGAAATTCACGTTGTGTTTTTATCACTGATGAATTATTCCGTAAAACCATTGACACTATTATTCCACGTTCTTGGGGAGTAAAACGGTCCATGTTTATTTTCAGTGTAGGGGAGCGCGGGGCTTGTTGTTACAGGGGTAAATAGTAACAGACCTTTTTCAATAGGAATTTGAATTTTATTCACGTTTTTTTTTTACCTAATCTTCAACTTATAACGTGCCACGCCACTTTACCACAGCCAGGGTCCTGCCAGGCGGCTCAGTGAGTGGGTGTGTGCAAACGCTTAATTGTTGACAGGAAACCTATAATTTTACTAACGTAAATTTTTGGTTAGTTTTACTATTTTCGTAACTTTGAAGTTTTATGTATTTTATTTTATGCTAAAATATAACTATTTATGATGTTGTATAACAGTTTTCAAGATTACTAAGTTAATTTAATATTTATCGTGATAAATATTAAGAACTATATCAAGGGGCTAGTTGTAACAAAACCTCGGGGTTTGTTGTAACATGTTACAATTTGCCCCCAGATTGCTGTAAGTTACTGACGGCCGATGTTCAGTTTTCCCCGGCTTAAATACTCAGAAATGTTCATTCGCGGTGGACCTGAAGATTGCATTGGAGCTGGCAATTCTTCAGGGTGGAGGATGACTGATAAAGAATTTTTGATTTTTGTAGATAACTTTATCAAACACGCGAAACCTACCAAGAAAGAGCCAGTTCTGTTACTGCTCGATAATCATGGCTCACATGTGAATGTTGTCTCTCAGTTGTGAGTAGTGTCAGCTCAGTTGTCGAAAAAGCCAAAGAAAACAAAGTTATCATGTTATAGTTTTCCTCCCATTGCTCCCACAATTTTCAACCTATGTATGTAGGAGTCTACGGCCCTTTTAAAAACTACGTGAACAGAGCACAGACTGCATGGATGTATAATAATCCAGGAAAAACGATGACAATTTATGACATCCCAAGTGTAGTGAAGGAGTCATTATCAGTGGACTTAAAGCTTCTGGTATTTGGCCTTTGAATGTTGATATTTTCCAAGATAGTTTATGCGAGAGTATTAGATACTTTGCGCTCTCTTATGTTACTGATCATCCAGAGCCTACAGAACAATCAGAAAATGTTCTAAATGAAAGTGAGAATTTATCGTTGAGTCTTAAACATCCAGAACTATTAGATTCTGCTCCTGAAGTGGATATCAGCACAACACAAATTATACGCCACATTGAAACTGCGAACAAACTAACTCCAAGTTGCTCTGGTCAAAATCTATTTTTCCCATCAAAAGTTAGACCATTACCAAAGGCGCCACCACGAAAAACAAATATAAATTGCAGACGCAAAAGGAAGTCTGCTGTTCTGACTGATACGCCTGAAAAAGAAGCTTTGAGAGTAGAATATGAAGAAAAGATGAAGAAAATGCAAAAAGAAGATGATAAAGAAAAGTGAAAGGGGAAGGAAAAGTTAACAAATCTGCGATGGTAAGATGTAAGGTAGAACTAAGAGATAAAATGATCCAAGATGTGAAAAAAATTAAACGATTGAAGGTGTCATTTTTGTTGTTACAACTAGCCCCAACCACGGGGTAAGTTGTAACACTTCTCTTTTTTAGAAAAAAATAATTGTGAGATAGTTACCTGTAGATTTGATAATATTTCGATTCGACTTCATAGATAAATAGTTAGAGTATCGATCAAAGTTTATTTAGTAGTAATTTAGCCAATATTCTTCATGATATTCAATTATTTGTTAAAATTGTTACAACTAGCCCCACGCTCCCCTATTTTACATTTGTTAACTACACAATTTTCAACAACAGAATGAAAACTATCGTCATATAAAGAATATAAACAAATTTTCTTTAGTGCCATTACTTTTGCGCCACCCGTTAGTAATATGAAAATATAATAAAAACGTTTTTGTCTCTTAATTGTGTTCATTAATTTGGTCTGTCATTCACGCTTTACCTGTTCTTCACTTAGGTAATGTCTACTATCATAATGAAAACTAATTATTGTATTTGTAAAGTATCTAACGTAATCATACATTAGTTAAAAATGTTAAATTGTTTAATGTTTTAAATATAAATTGTTTTTATTTTTGTCTATTGCTACACAAGAGCAGTGTTGGCCTAGTGACTTCAGCGTGCGACACTTATCCCTGAGGTCGTAGTTTCGATCCCCGGCTGTGCACCAATGGACTTTCTTTATATGTGCGCATTCAACATTCGAACGGTGAAGGAAAACATCGTGAGGAAACCGGCTTGCCTTAGACGCAAAAAGTCGGCGTGTGTCAGGCACAGGAGACTGATCACCTACTTGCCTATTAGAATAACAAATGATCATAAAATAGATTCAGAAATCTGAGGCCCAGACCTAAAAAGGTAGCGCCGCTGATATTTTTTTTATTTTATTGCTACACGGTGAATGTACCTTAAGTCATAGGCTCTTAATACATCAGGGGCCTAGGACACATATTTTTTACTAGTGTTAAGTTGTAGTTAGTTTAATTAATAGAAGACATATAACGTAGTATTATGTTATGGAGAATCGCGTCTGAACACTATATTTCATTTACGATGATCAGGTCAACTCAGTCAGGAATTGTCAGCCACCTGTGTGTACGAGTATATATAATATGTACCAAAGTGTTTAGTTACAAAACTTTTTTTTTGCAGATTGAATCGCTAAATCTGATATCTGAATGGGTGTCGGGCGTTCCAAATTGTCCTCACAACCCTCACTCAAACGTGACAGCTATTATATCATCCACCGGCGAGTACTATGTTGGAACACCTACTGATTTCACTGGTTCTGATACAGCCATTTGTCGGTAAGTGATTTTCAAAATTCCTTCAATTTAACCTAGACTACTAAGTATACTTTTAGAAATTATTTTCAATATAACATGCTCCTTACTATTCTGTATGAATATCAATATAATTGTCTAATTATATTACTTTACATATAAATATAAAATCAATTATCATCACAACTTTAAAATTACTAATACTGGAGCTCTTGTATAGTTTTTTGTTTGAACGAAATTGTCTTATTCTAAATAATTAATTACACAGTATTTGGATTTTTACTTCTGGAGACCGTGGAAGACTTACTCTCGGATATATTTTTTTGTCATCTGCTCCCTTATTTGTATATACACCGAAATACCTTGTGGGTTGACTTTAATTACAACTTATGCAACAAAGTGATCGTTGTTTACGCATTTAGTCGTTTTTGTAACTATTTGTCCACAACAGAACGATATAAATGTATAGAGTAAAAACCTTTTGGGTTGACTTTAATTACAATTTATGCTACAAAGTTGAAGTTTATAATAGTGTACTCGAAGAATAAACTAGATATAGTGTTCCGATCCACTAGGACGTCAAGCAAATTTACTAAGACCAAATATAACTATCTATCATTATAAAATTAAATTGTGTGTAATAAGAAATTATAAATTAGTCTAAAATATTGATATATATCCATCTACAACTGTCCTTAGTGAGACAAGTAAAAGCTATTTTTTTAAGACTGCGGATTGAATATAGATATTATTTTCAGGACTCACGGTGCCTCTCGCAACACAGGGATGCTGCGTACGACCCAGTACGATCCAAACTCCTTGAACGAACCACAATTTGTAGGCAGTTTCGAAGATGACTACTTCGTTTACTTCGTATTCAGAGAAGTGGCTGTCGAACATTTGAACTGTGGAAAGGTATTTCATTTACTTAATGAAATTAAATTGTGTTGCCTGCCAATTATATTCTTAACGCATACAAAATAATTCTTTAAAACATTTCACCAAAATATAAGAATACATGTACACTAATATTTTTATATTATCAAAAGATCCGATTTGTCCTAATATAGAAATAAAAAAGACTGAACTTATTTGTTATAATAATGTTCATAAAGAAAGCTACAGTAACAATTGTAGTAACGAAGGTTTTGCTTTTACAAAACATTGGATAGAGACTCTTCGTATAAAAATATCATTTTATTAAAAGTAAAAGAATTATTTGATAATAAAAGGATAAAGAAAAAACTTTTTACCGGATTAAAGTTATGTATTATTATAAATTTACAATTATTTAACATAATTTTAAATTTATCCGACGTTTCGCGTGCGTATTTTATAATAATACATAACTTTAATCCGGTAAAAAGTTTTTTCTTTAAATGTGTAAAGGTTATGTCAATCAAAGACAATAATAAAAGGATAGTTAAAGAAATGTAAGCATGTATTTTTTTATTTATGCTCTCAAACATAACGCATGAGGCCAACCAAATACATTTGAAAATATGTTAGAATCGAAGAAGTCGCCAAGCATCCGCGAAATAATTTTGGAATTTTGGTTGAGTGTTCTATAAGGCAACAGTTATCTCAAAAATTGCTATAAATATAAACCGATTACAGTAATCCAGTTGTATCAGGCTAAAACCTTAAATAGCTTGCAATACGTCAGTGACATAACTTATGATTATACGAGCTTCACTCCTATTCCTCAGTAATAAGGCTTAGAATATTTTAAATCATTGCCAGGAAATTATTTTACAATTCAAAGTATTTGTATATTGTGAATGGTATTTACATTTTTATGGACTCAATCGTGCATAAACATTGCTGTTCAATAGCTAATTTGGATTGAATATATATTGAATTTATCTTTTATCTGTGATTGATTGAGACGGAGTTCTATTTTTAAAATACAAGACGTAGTTTCTACTAATCGTAGATTTTAAATAGAAAGTAGAGGTTATTAAATTAAATGATGAATTACTTAATTTTATGCGCTTGTTGATATTCTTTTGTTGTAAAATTGACGTTGATGCAATTGTAGCATGTTCCCCCTTCGCACGGCTGTTTATTTATTTTTAACAATTTGGGAAAGTAAATATAGCCTATATAATAATGTAGTATTCTAAAAGTAAAAGAATTTAAGAAATCGGTCCATTTAGTTTTGATTGCATTCTTTACAGATATTAAGAAATAGAAATCTTTCTTCTTTTTAAAGTTCTTTTAAAAGAGACTAACGACTCGGCTAATAATGTTCAAAGAATTTTATTTCTCATTACAAAAAAAATATTTTTATTTACATGAGAAATTTAATATACGTAATATACGAACGAGATACGCTTCGCCATCAGCTATCCCAATTATAGTCTACTTATAATTATAGGCTTATTAATGTATCTTTAATGCCCTTTTCAGTATAAAAACTTAAGACGTTAAAAGGCAGTCTTAATATGAGTATTATTACCCAAAGTAATTTTATCAAAGTTAAAGAAATGTAGATGAAAAAATGATTAAGCTTTCTATTACTCTAAGTGCATATTAAATATTTAAGGATTCAAGCGATGTCTTTAAGTTACCTTATCGTTTTCCGGGCTAGATAATAAACTAGCCACGACAGGTGTTATAGTGCTGAAGTATTTCTTACTTGACCATAAAATGGTTTTAATGTCTAGGACCATTAACACCATATGGCCCTATTAAGTTAACATACTTAAGAATATAAGGAAAATGTTTGTTGTGTGTAATTTCAATAGTTTGACATTTACAAGAACAGGCTGTCTTTATTGGTTATTTTAAAAACATATTCATGTACACTGCTTTGCACAATAATTAAAAAACAATATTAACGATAATCTTAAAAAAACATGGTGCAACGGGCAGCCTTATCGCCACTAAGCGATCTCATCCAGGGAACTCTAATTAAAGAAAACTTTTAAAAAACATAATTGCTAAGAAGTGCAAGAGTGCGAAACTAAATTTACAATACAAAATAGTAATAAAACTAAAAAATATGAACTGTTAATATTAATAAACACAAATAACCAACAGGAGAGTAAATATAAAAACATGATAAAATAAAAAATAAAAGTTACTTAAGGATAAGCCAGATTTTATTAAAATAAATTTAATTCTATTAAAAAGTTGATTCAATTGTAGTACCGTCGGTATTGTGCTTACAGCTACTATTCAATTGTACAGCCTTTTGCGCCTCCCACTCCTAACACTGTTTCGCTTAGAATCGAACCCAGTACATTTTGGCTAATCCCTGGAATCATCTAATAGGAAGGAATAGAAATAGGCATTGCATTGCAGTGCATTTAAATATAAGCCTCATGTAAAATTATTTTTTTATTATTCAAATTCAAGTGTACGGCACATAGAATTATTATATATAATTTATTTGCCATCTCTAATAAATTTACTGTTTTTTTTTAGATATTATATTCCCGGGTCGCCAGAGTGTGCAAAAACGACTTAGGTGGCCATCTAGTGATGAAAGACAACTGGAGTACGTTCATAAAAGCTCGCCTGAAATGTTCAGTGCCCGGTGACGTGTCGTTCAACTACGACGAAGTGCAAAGTATGGAGTACCTGCCTCAGGAGAAATTACTTGTAGCTGTATTCAGTACTCCTACGTAAGTGTGGCTAGTATGCTTACCAGTGTTTACAACCTGATTCCAACTATCGTACCAGGACCGTAAAATTATCGTATATTGGATCTAAGTTATTGTATGCACCAACATAATGACCAGTTATATATACTTATTTGATAAAAACTACAAAATCTGCGTACGATAGTAGTATACTTTTGGGAACCCTTTAATTACCCCAAAAATTAAATAGCAATATTGATTACTATATAAGGTTTTCGCAACGTGTAACCATGTTTGCGTCGTCGACGCTTCATTTAATGGAACTACATTAAATTGGTTGAATGATTTTCTAATTATTGGAATTGACACTTAAAGAGGGACATTTTGAAAATCATGCTTATTATTAAAACGCAGCGTTGGAATTCTCGTTTCTGACCTCATATGTTCCAACTCCGGCTGTTCACCAATGTACCATTCTATGTGTGAATTTAACACGGGCTCATATGGTTAAAAAAATATTGTAAGGAAACCACCGGCCTAGACCCAAAATGTCGACGGCGCGGCGTGTGTCAGACACAGAAGGCTGATCACCTTTTTGCTTATTAGAAGGAAATTGATTCAGAAATGTGAGACCAAATCTAAGAGTTGTAGCGCCACTCGTTTTTATTTAAATTTTTGCCTCAGTGTAGTTTGTGTCATTCTTATCACAGCTCGTTGAAGTGATCAGGTTTTTTTCGATCCAAGTATGCTTTCGGTTCTTTAACAAAACCCCATTCAAAATAATCTAGCAGTGTTGAATCACTTAAAGAATCTAATTAAACGAGTAGCAGAAATCTGATTGACACTGTTTATGTCCTCAAAGACAATAATTTCAACGCAGATTTTCAACAAAATGTTGTTCTTATTTATTGAAACTACAAAAATGTAACTCCATATACTTACTAACTGCATAGTATTAGAACTATGGATAACACCGTAATTTGTTTCACAGAAACAGCATAGCTGCCAGCGCTGTGTGCATATACAATATGTCAGATATACATGCAGCATTCGAAGGGCCATACAAAGTGCAAGACTCGCCCACTTCTACGTGGGAACCAAAGTCTCCTTCCAAAGAAGTTAGGGAACATTTCAGATGTGCTAATGATACAAGGTAAGAATATAGTAACCCCACAAACTTAAATATATAAGTACAGATAAATAATTCAGAACGTAAATATTTTAATTAAAAAAAAATATACACACAAATTAAAACTTGCTACAACAAATTATAATATATAATATATTATTAACCATTAAGTTCAATTAAAAAAACCTTCGTAAAAAAAAACCAGGTAATGTTTGTTCACTATACGTTCACGTTGTGTAATATGTAAGCCGCAACAATAGTAAAACAGATTTAAAAAAATTAATTAAAAATGTTTAAAAAAAATATTTAAATTTATTTCATATAACTTCATTTCTAAGAATACCATATTTTCCAGACTCGCATTAGAATACCACCGGTATCACTTAATGTACGACTCAATACAACCAATCTCTGGAGGACCAGTGTACAAAGCCACTCTAGAACGGTTCACTCACGTTACAGTCGATGTTGCCAACACTAAAAATGTTGGAAAGCAGCTGGTCGTGTTTGTGGCAACACAGAAAAGTAGTATTATAAAGTTGGCAATTCTGCCGCGGTATGAGGGCGCATGCGTGGTCGAAATTTGGAAGTTGAAGGATGGCAATGGTGGATACGATATCCAGACTATGCAGTTTGTTAAGGATTCTGTAAGTAATATTTAACTATTTTCGAAAAAAATTTAATCTCTTCTAAAACTCTCAAACTCTGCCGAAATGTGCATCTCTCTTTCTAACATTACTACATCAAGAGAATGAAACAACATACAACGCAAACAATTAAATTAAAATACATATTTAATTTTTTTAGTTTTTTTAACAGTCGAGACTAAGTACTTTATGTATGTATTTTAATATAATTAACGTAAAACGAGTGTATATAAAAAGGAGATTTGTGAAGGTCCCTTTCCTTAGATGAAAAAGCCAAAAGGACTTTCCATTTTGAAAGAAAAGGAACGTTATATAATATTAAAAACCCACTCCACAGATGTCGCTCTACATAGGTAGCGATACGGGTGTACTTCGCCTGGGAAGCGAGCGATGTTCCAGATACAAGACCAGGTCAAGTTGTGTGGGTGCCACAGACCCACACTGCGGTTGGGACGATGCCAGGGAAAACTGTATTCGGACTCCACCTCATTTACACCAGACTTACTTTATACAGAACACGGCTACGTGTCCCACTGTCAGCACACCTGGTTGGTTTATAAAACTAGTTTGTTAATTAAATAACTATTTGCACCTTTTATTTCATATATTGTTTAGAAACCGTTTGGTGTTCTTTGTTGTTTTGGTGTAGACCAAAGCTAAATTACCTAGTTATATAGATTCTATACAAAATTGTCAATAACTTTCTAGAAAATTCTGCTATTAATAAATAGTCTGTTGAAAAATCTATCGCAAACACGACTGCAATACAATGCAATGTGTGGAAAATTTTGTGTTTATTCTGTATTTGGAAATGAATATTTCAGTTGATGGCGGTTGGTCATCTTGGTCAGACTGGGAGCCTTGTATGCAGGACGGAACACCTAGAAACACTTACGATGATAAACCCGACATGTGTATGTGTCGGACCAGGCGATGTGACAACCCTAGACCAGCGAATGGGGGACAGAAGTGTGCAGGTAAATAAAAGAATTTTTTATTTTGCTCGAAATTTCTATAAGTGTTAATTTTCAAATTATTGTGGCAACATTGTTTATAGTCAAATCTGTGAAAGCCTCAAAGGGTTGGGGGTCAGTGATTATACTTTGTAACATGTATATACTGCGTCTGAGACTTGGAGGTGAGGATTGATTTGCGGCGAACTTTTGACCAGAAATGTGTCTGCCCCATGCCCCATTGCGGATAACGAGATTTTAAACAAGCATTGTTTAAACGTCCATGACCATCAGTGAAAGAAAATTAAATAGCTTTTAAAAATCAGGTAATTCCTCATAGTATCTATATTAGTAAGCAAATATAACCACATTTTTCCAGGCGCAAGTATAGCAGTAGCAAATTGTACGGTTCATGGTGGTTGGTCAGCCTGGTCTCCGTGGTCGGAGTGTTCAAACACCTGTGGCATCGCAGTCAAGTCCCGGCGACGCACCTGTACATCTCCTGAACCCAAATTTGGTGGACGAGTTTGCGTTGGTCTGGATGTTAGCGATATGTACTGCGCTAATTTGCCTCCATGTCCTGGTAAATAACCTTATATACATGTATATGGAATATCTATCGTTTTATTATCTAAAGCTTATGCGACTTCAAATAGAAATAATATAATAATAAATTAATCTTTTATATTTAAGAGAATTTGCGACCTCAGGTTTAGGGATCCATTATAACATTCATATATAAATTATTGCTCTAAAGGCTATATGTTGCAACTAATCAAATGCAATGAATGTTGCAAAAAAATGTTGCAATTAATTCAAATAAAAAAATAAAAAATAATTATTAAATGTATCTGTTCCATAATCAACAATACTTATCATACTATATCTATTATTTCAGACCCCAATTTAGCTCCAGTCGATGGAGGCTGGTCATCATGGAGTGCCTGGTCTCCATGCTCAGGAGTTGGGTGTGGAATCAACTCAGGCGCTAAAGAACGACGCAGAAATTGTAGTAACCCTGCACCCAAACATGGCGGTTCGGACTGCGAAGGACCAAAATATGAGAGGCTGCCTTGTGATTTACGACCTTGTGAGGTTCGGAAGGCAACTGCCTGGACTCCGTGGGTGCAAATGCTTGGTAAGATATAGTTTGCGTGATAATAGTTTATTTTAGTTTGGTCTTGTGAAGCATTCTAAATTCTTATGTTTTTTCCAACGGTACAGACGCAAAATATAAAAAAAAATTGTATTTTCCGTCTGTATAAGAACAAAAGGATAATTTACAAAAACCAGATAACAAACATATTATTAGCTTAAAATTACTAGTTTTATAATGAGACTAAATGAAAAAATATCTGATTCTTATAATTTTTAGGTTTTATTTTGAATTAAAAACCTTGATGATATGATTCATTCTTTTTACAGGTAATGCGTCTGATGGCAGTTACACTGAGAAACGATTCAAATTCCTATGTAAGGCACCTACACCGGAACAAATAAGGGTAAATATATGTACTTTGAATTTAGCTTAACTCTTTAATATTACACACATTGAGTTACACCCTTATCTGATAGAACTCCATTAAGTAGGTTTGTATGAAAGGAGTATTTGCAAAATAGGAAGCAACTCAAGAAAAAATATTTTACGCCGCTCACTACTTTTTACCACTCTATTCCATTTATCTGTAACACGAATAATTCCACCTCAATTAAATCACTAGCAGTAATTATTAACTTTACCGGGCGGGATGTAATTAATAAGAGTAACTTTTTATTATTTAATAACTAATGTAATTACTAAAAATAATTAATGAAGAAAGAAGAAAATCAAAACAAATTTAAAAAGTTTGGTCCCTGTGGCAGTGTACCTTTAACGCTGGCAGCATTTCCTCGCTGTATTGCGAGACTTATTCTTTGAGCCAGGAAAGTGCCAGCTCTGTGGTCACCGGTACTATCTACCAGGCGCCAACTTAAATCTTTAATAAGCGCCTGTGCACTTGAACCCCACGGCCCAAGAGTCTCTACTCCAAAGGGAACAAAATTGAAGTTGGAGGAAAGACTCTTATATTTGTGCCGTTTGTTAATTTCTGCCTGTTCTGCGGCCGCACCAGCTTTTTGCTTGTCCGATGGAGATGAGAAGGGGCAAAGGTGTCTACACAGGTAGCATCCCATACTAAAGCCCGTCCCATTTTCCAAGGGATCAAAGACATTCCATCCGGCCGCTTGCCATCGTCTCTTGCGATGCCTGTTGGCTCCAAAATTGCTGGAACATTGACGGAGGCAAGAGAGCGGCGTATAATGTCGTTTAGCGCGGCATGGCGAGAAAAACGACCTGCACTCTTTTGGCAGTGTAGGCCATGGTGTCCAAGGCTACTTACTTCAAAACCACAGGGACACTTATGGGGAGTACATATGGGCACTCCTAAGCGGAGGCTGATGCCAATTCGAAGTGATTCAGGGTCTAAAAGGGTGCCAGTGTTTGGCGAAGGATAAGCATTAAGACAATGTCCAGCTTCCCTAGACCCCACAGCCATCAACCTTGCACGGTCTGTTATTGGAATGTGACCTAATAATTTTTTGAATTCACATTTGCAAAGAGGATCATCCCAGCTCCTTTGAAAGTTGACGCTAGAAGGCAAACTCAAGCCTGGGTTGGATGCTATCCACGCGTTTCTTGTTAAATCCGCAATCTCGTAGTTTGTAGAATAATATCTAAGGATTTTACCTACCAGACTGCTAGATTTGTGAGCAGATGAGAGAAACGCTGGAAGAGCTACACTTGTTATCTTGCGTACTCCTAATCCGCCAAAGCGAACAGGAAGCGATGCTTGATTCCAAGAAGGTGTATCAAAACGAACATTTAAAATAGATTCCAAAGAAGTTTTTAAAAGATTATCCAAATCACTTAAAAAAACTGAATGATTCGATAGAGGGCTACAGCGAAGTACGTAAGTTAATTTGGGAATAAAAAGGCAGAATTTTAAAATGAACAAAGCTGAGTGTGCTGTAATATCCAGAAGACGGTGAGAAAGATCTTTAAATTTTGATATTGTCGAGTTAATGTATTCTTCAAAACCTTTGAAAATCGGTGCTCCTAAGAGGTACAGCGATTTTTTATTTTTTATTTTTATGTTTGGGGCTAAGGTATTAATTTGTTTTATTGTATGGTCGGTGTCCATATTCTCACCATGGAGATATATTTCACATTTATCAAAAATTTAAAGTTAGACCCATTGAACTAAAATCTGATATTATTTTAGATAGATCTGAAAGTACTACATCTGCGTTACCTCCTAGAGTACCATCGTCAAGATACCAGACGTTAAAATTTGATTTTAAATTTTGTATGCAAGAATTTATTGCGAGACTAAAAATAGCCGGCCCAAGAGGATCACCTTGTTGACAACCAACTTCTGAAGAGAGTTCGTAACTCTTGTATGTTAATTTTGATGGCTCTGAGTTTACAGGGACCAAACTTTTTAAATTTGTTTTGATTTTCTTCTTTCTTCTTTAATTATTTTTATTATTACTTTATAGGTTAAGAAAATTGTAAATACTGTATTTGTGTAAATAAAATCTTATTGTTATGTAATTACTTAATACTATATTATTCTACAATTAATAGTTGCATGACATATAAATAAAAATTCTTATTTTCCAGTTGTCTCTAGCCCGTGAAGAAGAGAGGTATTGCAACGCCCAAGGGGCATGTAGCAGTACGCCCCCAGAAGAAGATGGATGGGAAGCTTGGGGTCCGTGGGAAGCCTGTTCTGCCCCTTGTGGAGGGGGCCAACAAGCCCGTTCTAGGAGATGTCGTCGACCCCCATGCAGTGGACCCGATGATATGCTAAGAGCTTGTAACACTCACGCTTGTAATGGTAAGTTTAGATTGACATTCAACCTGTTTTTCTCATTAATTTTTTATACATTAATTTCAGTAATATATCATAGATAGACATATATTTATAAGACCTTCTGTCGATCCGAAGTGGTGGAGGCCTGATGACCTGTAACACAGGTACTCTTTCTTACCTTTAGCAGGCATCAGTCTCACACAAACTAGCTATTTCCCTAAACAGAAGTAAGACAATTATTTATTTATAATAGTATATAACTGTCACTTGTCTATGTGCTAAGTTTTTGTGAGAAATAAATAAAGATTATTATTATTATATTAAAAGTTATTATTATTATGAAATATATATATATATATATATATATATATATATATATATATATATATATATATATATATATATAAAGATTTATGGTGTACAGTATTTTATTAATTTTTGTGCTATATTTCGGTTGTGACTTTTCAAGTATAGGTTTTGTAATAAATAACCAATGAGAATGCTGACCACGTGACTATTGCCAAACAAATTTCTTGGCAATAAGGTTACTCTTGCTTATGTCGCTCTAAAGAAGAAAATTGTTGTGTCAAATGTTGAATCTATATTAGTTCGTATAATCGGTCATGGGACCGAATTACTTTGCGACAGAGGGGCGTCAAAGGAATTCCTATGAAAATGGTCACGTGATGAAGCTTGTGCTAATGTTTTGCCTTTATATTTTATCATGTAAGACAGAGTTTTATTAATCCTTGATTTTCGACTTGACAATCAGAGACCTCATTAAAGCCATACTTGAATAATATTGAGTGATTTTTTTTTAATATTTCAGGTGAATGGTCTTGTTGGAGTGAATGGAGTGAGTGCAATGGCAATTGTGATAGTGGTGCAACGGGACATCGAATGCGCACTCGAATGTGCCTCTCGCCCGAGGGCTGCGCAGACGCTGGTGCTGCGCTCGAGAGACGAATCTGTGTTAATCAATGCGCAGGTATATTTTTTATTTTCCTACTATGTTTTGTGTTTACATTGGCTAAGAATGTAGATATTAATAAAAATATTAATCAAATTCTGTACTCTAAAATCGTTTAAAACTTGTATTTTTTGTGTGTATGGGCTCTATATTTGTGGGTTTTTTAAGCTATTGCATAGATTTTATCGCGGGCATTGAGCGCGGCGACCGAATCAAGAAATTCCGTAACGAAAAAAACCCTACCACGTTAGAGTGGGATAGAACGCATACTGCGGATTCTCATCTCTCTGACGAGATCGGTGACGTAGCGTGAGCGGGGCCGGTGCAGCCGGTACGCGTTAGAGTGAGACAAACTATATAGGCGTTTTAGTCTGAGTCTGGTAGAGTGGTAGATTGAAATTATATCAAAGAAAAACAAATACTGCATAGATAAAAAATAAATAAATAATTATAACTGCATAAGTTGATAAAAAATGCTATGCAATAGCTTTACCGCGGCAGTCCCCGAGTGCCACACGTTTTTTTGATTCGTCAAGATCAGGCAAAGGGGTAGGAGGCGCGCCTGTTGTTAAGTGATACCCCCCCGTTGTCCATGGGCACTCTTTTTGATCTTTTACTTTACAAATAATTTGTATTTCTTTATATTATACAAGCTGTACGGTTTCACTCGCGTTAATTTCACAATAAACAGACCAATTTTTCCTCTTCGAACGCATAGTTCCTGAGATTAGCGTAAAAACTTTGGGGTTTAAAATTTTCCATAAGTTTTCTATCGACCACTTTCCATTCCAGAATCTGAAACTGGCTGGGGATCATGGGGCCAATGGAGTGAATGCGATGGAGGAGAAAGAGTGAGACGGCGAAGTTGTGAGAGTGGCGCCTGCGTCGGTCCACAGTTACAGGTGGCGCGCTGTGATGATAACAATATGGATAATGGTGAGTTAAAATTTCGATGTTTCTTGTTTAAGTCATATTTTTGCGGTTTTTCCGTGAGAAATATGTACATTGAAATAACAAAATCCTATATAAAAGAAAACATTTGAATTATTAGACGTGATTTTTGTCAAACAATGGTTTGGTCAAAGCACCAAAATTAAAGTAGCTATAATAATCGCCAACCTTCGAAAGGAGATGGCACTATAAGAAGTGATGATAAATGGATAATAAAAATTATTGTAGCAGAACTTTTGATCTTGGTCCACCGTTCGACTTGATATTTCTAACCTAGATGTCGCAATCAATCGCAATCTAATACACAGTTACCTCTTGCGCCCATAAATGGCTCTGTTATGATAGTATAATGTATATTGTTTTTGGACAAGAATACCGTATTGTAAGCTTATATGACTAAACTAAAAAGAATTAATTAAGAAAAAACGTTTCACATCAAAATTTCTATGCGTTTTAGTTCTTAAAAAACAATCTACAACATGCGGAACATTTTAGAAAAAAATCAGAATAAATTCTGCAATCAACGCATTTTATATAAAAAAGTCTATGAACGATTGTAGAACGTAATATTCTTTCAGAATTAAACGCGTTGCCAGCGTACAGTCAAGGAGTGGAGATGGCATCTTTTGTGACTATGAGCAACGAATCGCTCAGCCTTGGTGGGATAATCGGATGCGTTGTTGCTTCTTTTGTTATTGGTAAGTGTAATTCAATGCAGGCCTATAAAATATATGAAAGTTAGTATATATACGATGTTTTTTTTCGTATAATAGATGGTTATTATGGCAACAATGCAAAGTACTTCACGTTTTTTAATAGTATTTATTTTATAAAATATGAAATTTATGTCTACATAAAAAATATAAAAATGATTTTTTATTTCAAAATTGTTCCTATCTTTGCGCACATTTTGCGCAATTTTATTAAAATAACCCTCGTAGGGTCTGAGAAGACCCTACGAGGGTTATTTTAATAGGCAAAGAGACCGACCCTACGACCCTAGGGTCGGTCTCTTTGCCTATTAAAATAAGCAATGGTCACAAAACAGATAAAGATATTAGTAGTTTAAATCAATAGGTATTAGTATAGTAAAGAAATTTCGTAGCGTACTTTTTGGCTATCAAACAACTTTTACCTCTACTTACTCATTCTGAAAAAATACACTAGAGATTTTTGTTGTTTTATCATGAAAACGTCAATTCAAGTCAATTGAAAGTATCACGCTATTGTTTTTTTTTAAATTATGACCTAACTAAATTAACTGTACTTATACCAAAATAATTTCCTTATCTTAGGATGTCTAGTGTGCCTGGGCGTGGTGATATTCCTACAGCGTCGTGGTTCGTGGAACAGATCGTCCCGTGTACCGTCGAGTCCACATTACATTACTGCGAAACAGAACAGCTACGTGACTGTACCTTTGGATCGGGTGAGTAAAATTTCTTAGTCGAAATTAAATATATTCCTATCAAATAATCTAATTTCCGTTCGTTTAATTTAATATTGCAGTTTTCGTATGATAACAAAAGTATTTATTTATTATTAACTGACACTTATCTACTTAACAAATACAATCACTAACTTTACTATTATTATTACGTAATCACAATAAAATTAATATAAATTTTATATTCTTAAACACGATGCATCAAATCGTATCTTTAGTAACGATTGTCTTGAGTACTAACAAACGTGTCAAATTTTATAGAGAAACTAGTGGACTATTTGTAGATATTGACGTCTTCTATAAAACTGTAGTACATCACTTTGCTCTATTGTCCATAGATTTCGCAGCGTATTTTCTAGGAATTTTTATTAGTATTTTTCAATTAAATGTTGTTAAATTACCATAGTCTATTGTAATCAGGTAACGTACGGTTCAAATAGATTCAAATGATGAAATAATTTTTCAAATCTATCCTGTAGTTTCAGAGCGTATTCGATGCAAACAAACAATCCAATCTTTCTTATAATATTAGTATATATAAAACAGTTTGACAGCTCTTTGAACTAAATATGAGTTCCGAGTTTCAAAAAGAACATTAAAGTTTCAATAAGTTTTTCTAATATGTAATCAATTTTCAGCCTCGCAAACCAAAACGGCAGCCATCATTCTCTGGTATCGGGGGCAACAGTATGTTATTAAAAACAACTAACATATCAAACGCCAATAACCACAATGTGGCCACTACCCCTAAATTGTACCCGAAGGCGATCGCAAACGAATATGACTCCATGGGGACATTGCGAAGACATTCAAACCAGCCCTGTACAAAGAACAACCTGGATATTGAAGAGGATAAATTCTATTGAGATTCTTAAAGGAAATTAGCCTTTATGACTTTTGCCGTTTGGGTAAGAAATTATTATTGAAAGGGCCGCTAATGCCATGTCCTTCGTGTAGAACACGATATATGAGTAAAGTACTAGAAATCTTAGATTTGTGTACGATATCAGATGGCCATTTGTCTATGTATTAATATCTGTATTATGAAATACAAGTGATACAATTTTAGATTCTATTCTAAATCTACAAATCTAAAACTCATTATTATATTGAAAATTTATCAATTGCAATATTCCTAAATGGGACTATTTCAGTTTTATAGTTTTCTGTTTCTTAACCTAATTTTACTAGGAAATTTCAAATTCCTTTTTCTTTTTAAGAAAGTTAGAAATTTATCGATCTCTATGCGTTTTAGATCTCAAAAACAATCTAAACCTGTTCAAGAAAACACTGTTTTTCAGTTAACAATATTAAAGTTAAAATGAAATGGAAAATTTTGTAAATTTAATTCGATAGTAAATTTCTTTTGTTATACAACAAACCGAACTGACCTGAACTTTTCCATCTCAATAAAGTAATTTTCCTACACAAAATTTGCCCAAGTTATGTGCTGATGAGATGGCACAGCCCACCTATCCACAGAATAGACAAATATAGTACAATGGATTTTTGAATTATATTAGAAACCAGTGTTGCCACTTTGACGCCTCCCATTTGCAGTAACTTGTGACAGATATTTATCTATTCTATGTGTTTGAATATGGAACATGCTTATAAAACTAGTATTAGCTTGATGCTACATATAAAGAAATTCAGTGCCATTATTATTTTAGATATTTTAAGTTAAATATATGGGTACTGTAACAAAGCTGCTTGTGCCATTTAAGCGACTGTTATATTAATCCCCGGTCCATTATGAATAAGCATTTATGTAAATAATATTGTAAATAAATAATGTTTATGTTAAATTTATAATTTTTTTATATTAAATGATCAGTTTATTAATTTTCTATTTTCTAAAATTGGAGGTGCCTTAATGTATACGAATGTTTCCTTGAAATAAATACAGATGGCGCTAAATGCTATAATATTGTTAGGCGGTTTTGCGAATAAAAAGAAATAATTATCGGTGTTTGAGGCGCTGTAGAGTTTATTTGGAAATCTATTTTATATTTTTGTATGAATTGTTGAATATATTTCGACGTTATTATTGGCTCATATTGAGCCATAATTAAGTTTACATAGTTAATTTTGATATTAAAATTGTCTTTATTAAGGAAGGAAATATTAATTTTGTATCGCGCCATCTATTGGATGATATACAATGTATGTTAAATGTATATACATAGTTTTATTTGAATGCTTGTTATAAAATCAATTGGGTCGTGTAAAACCATATTTTATACGATAATGTTGAATGAGCTTTGAGCTAGACATGGGATATGAAAACGATTATTATACATAACCGTGACGTCATTATTTATAAAATATACTTTTTGAAATTGGAACACTATTGTAATAGATTATAAATTTAGAAAAATCAGAATAAGTATAAACTCACTTGTATTGCTGTCTTTCATTATTTGAGTCATAATGAAAGAGTCGACTACTTTAACGTAAAGTTAAAGATTTACGTTTTATTATTTCCTATGATTAAGTTTATTGTACTCTTATTGTGTAGAAAATTTAAGGAGGCTTCTCATATAACTCACCGATGTTTGGGAAACTAATTGTGATTTTTTAATGTTCGAAAACGTTTTCATTCCTGAACTCCGTCAATTATGTTAACGGGCTTATTACTTAAAAATAAAGACTGTCGTATTATTTTTGTGTTTGATTTTTAATTGCCTACTACCCCAATATGCTAGACAGCTACAGCTAAGACAACTATAGCAATATTTTTTTATTGAGAAAAAAACAATAAAAGTAATAAAACATTACGCAGCAAAAAAACACTGGCTAACATTTCGAACTCCAAGTTACAATCTAGTCTTGAGCACTTCAAAATGTCAAATACTAATATGTCGTCATAGTCGTAGAATAGTGACGCATCTGACAAATAGTAAACTTTACAGGGCAGCCATTTCAAAATAATATAATCATGTTAGTTTTTGCATAACTATTTTAATACAAATTCTGCTGTTGGCATAAGCCAATTTTCATAGTAATTATTTAATATAATTAAATTAGTAGTTTGCTTTTATAAGCAAACGAAAGGGTTTGTTTTGAAACAAAATAAAAATTAAATTACACAGTTTTCTAGAAAAATCACATGTTTCTACCAAATCCGTCACTTTACAGACTGATTAATTTGAAATTTAAAAGACATGGATTTTTTAAAATGTAGCCGTAATTTAGTCTATGTAGTAAGTTGATTTCAAAATATGATAAAAAGTGGATTTTAGATTTTTTTCCAATCCGACATTGTTCTACGATAATGACGATGTACTTAATAACAAAATGGGCCTAGTGTTAAAACCAAATTTGGAGTCACGATTTGTAATTTGTTCATTAAGAAAAATGATTTCACAGATATTGAAACTTGTGAATTTGTATATAATGCTGAAGTGCCGTTCTTATAAAAAATCACTAAGTATCCTGACCACGACTAAAACAAAGTCCCCTTATGTCGGTAAGCTGAATTTTTGCAAAAACAACTTTGTAAAATTTTCCTTTGCACGTAACTTGCCAAAGGGGTGCCTTTGTCACATTCCTTTGTGGTATTTCGCTTTGTAAGTGACTGAAACTAATAGTATAATGGATGTACAAACTAATAGTAAATGGTTCTACGCTAATCTAGAAATATATATTTCTATTACTAAAAAATCTAATATTCGCACATTATAAGATTTTTTTAATTTCAACAAATTTATTACACTTGGTATTTCGTTTATTTAAAGTCTTTTATGACACGTACAATATTTTTGTTGATTTGAATCAATTACGCTGGGTATAGTAAAATCTTGCCGCGTTTTTGTCTAGTATCAATGTGTATAATAAATATTTTTATATACTTAACGAAAATTTATCTTACGTTAGACATTAACGTAACTAAATTATAGTTTTTTTAACAAAATTAAAATCCAATTCAAAACCTTGGACTGATAGTTCTTATGATGTAATTTTCACTAAAATAACTTCATAAGAACATATCTCGTATATTGTGTTCCGAAAGTCGGAACGCATTAGTTTCAAACTTATTCACAAGGTGTACCAAATAATCGATTTCTATAAATAACACCTTATCTAATAAGTTAAAATTATTCAGAAACCATTTGGTCGACGTACCTTCAGTTGACGTTTATTACCACAGCAAAACATGTTTACGAAAGTCCTGAATCTAATTCGGGGTGATAGTTCGCGAAATCGGACTGATGAACTGAAAATACAGTTCTTGTTTCTGACAAAACAGCCTATGACAGGCAGATTGCGATTGCCAATACTACTGTGAAAACATTATGTATTGGCAATTGTTTTTAATACTATAATTCAGGATATTAAAATTGTCGTCCTTTACTCATTCCCTCGGTTGATGAATCAACAATATTTTCCAAATTCCTTCTGCTAGAACCAACCTAGGAGTTCAGGCACCTCTCGTTCGAATTCCTCGTGATTTTAACAAATTGAACACAGCTTATCCGGAGCTGGATATATTCGGTGGGCTGATCGGTTTTAGAGAAAGCATTGTGGGGTGCCTTTGTCGAACCTAATTCGCTCTTTTGCTGATGATTTTTCTTTTTTTCCTGCTTTAAGTGCCAACAAATTTATACTATAATTTTATTTTATTTTATTGTGTGCTTGTATTATCTTGTATATGTTTTAATTGTATTTTTAATTGTTAATTTTTTTTTGTGAAACTTATGTTTACATTAATTGTACTTTTATTGTGCACACATTTTAGATGTAAGATTTTGTAAAATAATTAGTAGATTTAGTACTGTGTGTGATGTCGTAAGCTTAATAACTAAATAAATACTAAAATACGATAATTTAATAAACTTAGTTCTTGTTTTTTCGTTTCGTATTACTTCCCTATTTTAAAAAAAAGTTCCTCTAAGCCTTAACGATGGGATGTGAGATCTAGCTAAAATCTAAACTGAAAGTGATACTATATAATTCTATATTGCGCCAGTCTAGACGATACGTGCCTTAGTCATCAGACGAAATCTGTCTACCCGAGTGTTTAAGTAACCATTGAGATTCTATCTCATATACAGACACTAAGATTTGTATACTAAATACTAGAGAATCAAATTTTCCACGTGCAGTTGTAGAATGATACTACAACAGGAATCTTTCAAGCTCCTGATACAGTATATTTAGTACTAAACATAACAGATTTTACTTGACTTTTTTCACTTCAATAATTTCCAAAACGATGCATACTAGTTTTCAGTTACTATAAAAAAATTACTAAGCTTTTTTTAAAAAAAACTAGCACTGCCGCTATGTGGAACGATCTATCCGTCGAAGTGGTTTCGCCTCTTGTATACATAAAATGGTCTTTCAAAAATTGAATATACCGTTTCTTAAAAGGCATTCGTGACACTTGCTGGTTACTTATCCAGTTCCTTTGTCCCCTTGATATATAATTAAATATTAAATAACTATTTCTATTGTTCATAAACCCAATTATTTGACTTTAATATGAAGTTTTTAGTTGAAGACCCAAGTCCCGAGATACCGGTGCAATAATTTAGTATTGACTTGTTTAAGCTTTACAAATAAACGAGTTTCCATTCCAGATATTACTGCAGTGATTATGCAAGCTCACGACCTCGCTGTTTCCAGAAGTTGTGAAGTCTAGTGTTAAAGTTTAGACTTTGACTTCTCGATTAAACTAATAAATTTGGCGAGAGAATTCTTTGTTGCTATTAACCTGAATTGCAATTCGATTTACGGAGTGTATGCCGTTAGATTCTACTGTGTACAAACGTATATAACACTATTGTAAATATTGAAATGATTTTGTAACTTATTGTCATCCTCTATAATCAATTTCAAATTATACTAAATATTAAGTTTC